AGCAGGCTCCAGGCTCTGAGCTGTCAGCTCAGAGCCCGATGCGGCGCTCGAACCCGCAGACCGTGAGATCATTCATGACTTGAGCCGAATTCGGACGCTCAACCGACCGAGCCACCCAGGCGCCCCTTGGTAGTTTTTAATACCAGAAAACCCCTAAGTGTATTCATCAACAGAGGCTGAAAAATTGTAGAAGTCTTACTTTTCCTTCCTTCAAGGCAGCAAAGAAGTCTACCAAGGTACTCTGTATAATAGATGAAACAACAAATGTTGGTAATAAGGGGGGGAGGACACTGGCAGAGAAGAAGAACCAGTCTCCTACCCAAACAGGTATGGCCAAGGGCAGGGAGGGTTTCCTGTCAGAATTCCATCCGCGCCCCACCCTGCCTCCCCCCATAGAGCCTCCTCTTTCCCACTTTTTTTCCCAAGCAGTGAGGGACTTTTCATTAAGTCGGCCGAATAGTTCAGATTCACTTTGTTCCTTCTTGAAACCTCTGGTATCAGTTTTAACTTCTCCTCTGTGTATGATGGCATTTCTCATTCACTTAACTTAGGTTATGTGTAAGGAGTTCTGCTGAGCAGAGTTAGGCGAAAATTAGGAATTCTGGAAACATGCCGTAGAAATCCTATAGCTCCTGTGACGTATAGAGGATTAGTCCCTTTGGCCTCTTAGAAGATTTGGGAGAGGAACACGGCCAGGGCTCTGCCTTACAGAAGTGCTCAGGGGTAGACAAAACAGTTTAGACATGAGGTACACTCAGGGATCAGATGTTGGCCGGTCCTTAGAAAGAGAGGGTCAGTATTGTTTGTTTTGATGAAGCGTGGTTGGCTAGAGAATATAGATAGGATTTCAACTTGGACGAGTGGCCAGACTCAACAGAGTGAAGTGCAGAGCCGGGACATATGGGAAAGTGAAAACACACTCACCAAGAATTAAGCCAGAAAAAAAGGCAGAACTGCAGAGACAGTGAAAAGCTTCACGGTGGCAAAGGCCCCGAGGGGAGAAGGAGGGAGGAACAGGCAGAGCACAGGGGGTTTTTGGGGCGGTGAAACCAGGGTATATGATACCGTGATGGCTCCGTAGATGCGTGTCAAAACCCACAGAAGGTACTACACAGAGTAAACCCTAAATGTTAACTGTGGGCTTTAGTTAATATACTGTATTCATATGGGATCATTAATTATACCGAGCATACCACAATAATACAGGATGCTAGGGGCGCCTGGGTGGCTCAGTAGGTTGGGCGTCCGACTTCAGCTCAGGTCATGATCTCACGGTCCGTGAGTTCGAGCCCCGCATCAGGCTCTGTGCTGACCGCTCAGAGCCTGGAGCCTGTTTCAGATTCTGTGTCTCCCTCTCTCTCTCTGACCCTCCCCCGTTCATGCTCTGTCTCTCTCTGTCTCAAAAATAAATAAATGTTGGGGCGCTTGGGTGGCGCAGTCGGTTGAGCGTCCGACTTCAGCCAG